GTTGCGGTAAAGCTTCTTTTTGGGTGACTATTAGTATTAGGCTCTATCGGCCATGAATTTTTTTATGCTTCAAAGTCGCTATTTGTTTACAATAAAATGAATTAACGTCTTAAAATACTAAACGATCACAAAATATAATACTTTCTCCGTTCCATAATTATTGTCCAGTTTGAGTTTTCATTTCTAGTTTAAATTCTACTAAAAGTGAAATCTTAAACTGAACAATAATTTTGGGACAAAAGGAGTACAAGTTAAGGATTGAGTCGTATTCAAGCTAAATTCACTCTTTACATATACTTGGAATGCCTTGGAGCGACCCAACTAAAGAGGATTTTCTTCTTTTTTTTTTATTTCTTTACAAGTATTTTACAGCGTATTGGACAAAATGTACCATTTAAAATCCAACTCTAATCTTCGTTTTCTTTCCTTTGTTTTTTTATTTTTATACGAAAGAATTAAAGAACAAGAGATATACATAAAACATATACTACGACCGTAATAACATACGAAACCCTTAATGATGACGACTAATTAAGATGGGAGAGGCTGTCAAGTTTTGATAAATTCGATTCAAAATTAGAGATCCCGCACACATGGATGGGCAAGAATATTTTCTGACGATGCACTATTAAACAACGTCCATTTGTTTTCACATTTCTAATATGGTTTTAGAAATAAACATAAGTTTTTTTCCCAAAAAAGAAAGTAAAATAAAAATATTAATTTTATTTCACTAAATACTTCAATGCATGGTTTATATATATGTGTATATAAAGGGGCAAATAATATTAAGATCCTAGGTACACCTTGCAAGGTGTACCTAGGCAGTGCGTGAATCACATATGGGGGAAGAGAAATTGGAATAATTGAATCCGAAAGGAGTCCACACGCGTATTTATTATGCAAATCATCAATTTAATTACGTGATCAAATGTTATCCCTTTTTTTCTTCCAAATTTTAATTACGTGAATTAATTCCTCCAAACTTTATCCCCTTTTTTTTAGCACATGTTTAATTTCAAATGTTATCTTTTTAATGCTTATCATGTTAGCTTTTATATTCTTTTATTTTATGAGATTATTTTTTTAAAACTATGTTTCTTCTTGTCGCTCGTTGCGTAAGGTAATGCGTAAAGTATGGTTATTGATGAACAGGGTGTTCATTGTTGTTTTTTGACCGATGGTGTATTATATTATTACGATTTTACGATGTATATCTTATGTTAACTAATGAATAACGAGTTATTATTGATGAATAACAGAAGTTTTGCTAATTGGACGATGTTTCAACTATGAGGAAGAGACTTTTGTTGCTTATAATTTTTACACAAAACACATTAGTTTTTTTCAATAAACAAGTTCAACGATTAGAAAATGTCCAAATCTGTGTTGTATATTGGAAACAATTTGCATGTAGCAAACAAGGAGTAAAAAATTCAAGAGGTATGTGCGATACAACAATGAATAATTATACCAAACTGATGAATACGACAATTTCAACAATGAATAATTATACCAAACTGATGAATAACCCTCTATATCAATATCTACACTTATTGTGGTTTGATTTTTTGCAGATTCAGATATCCTGCTTCTGAATGTTGTTCTTCGCTCATGCTTCTTTCAGATTGTGTCTGATATTCATCGCTCATGCTACAATATATTTACAAATTCCATGAATAACTTGTCAGATGTGATGAATCCGACAATTTCAACAATGAATAATTATACCAAACTGATGAATAATACAAATATCTAGTAATTTACCAAAAAAAAAATAATACTACATAGTGATGGTAAACGATGAATCTGGCAATTTCAACAATAAATAATTATACCAAATTGATGAATAATGCAAAGATCTAATAAGTTACCAAAAAAAACAATACTACATAATTATGGTAAACGATGAATCTGACAATTTCAACAATTAATAATTATACCAAAACTGATGAATAATACACAAATCTACCAATTTACCAGAAAAACAACATCCAATAGAAGAACAAAACTCTAAAATTGATGAATCTGATAATTTCAATAGTTATGAAAGCGATGAATCTGATAATTTCAACAATGACTAATTATACCAAACTGATGAATAATTCTCAGATCTTCTAATTTACCAAAAAAAAAAAGCAAATCGAAGAACATATCTCTAAAATTGATGAACAAACATTGTTAATTGAGTGAACATATCTTAGATCTACATAACCCAAACAAAAAAACCACACCAATGATTGAAGAGAGTAGTTGTATTACCTCGCTTCCCCTTCATCCTCCGATTTGCTCATACTCGGTTCGGGATCCTCAGCCATAGGCATCTACATGAATATTTTAAGAAAAAACAACATTCATCAAACCAGAATCAAACAACAATGGATAAACACAGAAAAATCGATGAATTTGACCAGAATACACCTTAATCCTCATCTTCAGTATTGTAACTTGTAATCAGAATTACCGTTTTTTATGAATGATTCGATTCAGACTTCGGAAGTCCCGCCGACGGTAGCTTCTCTGAATGTATCGCCACTGGATTGATTTTTTGGGGTTTCGGTTTTTTTTTTTTTTTTTTTGATTTGGGGAGTAATGGAATAGATCGAATAGAATGTTGGATCATCAATAATGGCTAAAAATTAGGAGATAATGATGGTTATCAAGATTTAAAAATCAAAAAATCGCACATAATGAGGGTATTAATGGGCGCGTGTAAACATTCGGATGGTATTGTTGTAAATATTGGAAGTTTTCCTTTTTTGGTCGCGTGAGTTTCACCTGCTAGGTGTACCTAGCATTCCTATATTATAATTGATATAAAGGTAGATATTCCGTGTTTTTAGTCAAGAAAATTTTTGACAGAAATGAGACCGTGAAAGAACAGTGCACACGTGCACAGACAGAATGAGAGAACCCGTGGGGTACCAATTTTAACTTTGTTTTGTTACTTCTTTCGTCTGATTTAATAATTTATTTTATTGAATAAAAACAATAAGCTAAATTAAATATTAAAATAACACAAAAAGAGTAATATTTTTTTAAAAAATATATTATTAAACTCAATTAATGTATATTATTAAGCTCAAAAAGTCAAAAAAAAAATAAGGGAGAATTTTTTTTACAGCACAGGAAGCCCTAATAAACAGAGCCCAATGTTCATCATCCTGCAGTTATTATATATATTAGTACTCTCTACTATAGTAACTTTTTGAGTGAGCTATCATCGAGGAAGAAAATTCAACTCACTTTTTTTAGATTGTACCAATTGTAAGAAATGCTGCTGAATTGTTGTCTGATATTTAGTACTGCTTTTCTACTGCTGCGTACTAGTAACTCCATTAACGTATGTGCCCCAGATTAATGATACCTCGCACAACAAAATAAAATGATATCTCTAGTTCATATCCCTTAATAAACATGTAGCAATTCTAAATTTTTGACTGGTCTCCAGAATAACTCTGATATATGGAAGGAAAAAATATGTATATAACCCCTTATTATATTTTGTATTACTCGCTCTTACTGTCCGTATTTATATTTTTAACAAATTAAATGTCATTTGTATTCTTGAACAAGGAGTAACAGTTGCATACATTTCAAGTATAATCTTTTATTTTTAAGATAAGAAACACACATAAGATTTTCTTCAATTTATGTTCTTGTATCTAAATCGTAAACTATACACATAATCCATGTTAGTTTGTAAGTTACGTCTATAATTTCTGATTTTTTTATTAGAAAAGTGAAGACGGAATTATTATTATGAAACGAAAGGAGGACAAATAAGTATATTAATAGCACGAAAATTAGGACAAACAAGCTCATGTTTGTCTTACATTTAATGTCTGAAAGAACTAGAAATCGGAATCAAAGATGTGGACATCAGGAATACTACTAACACGCATGAAGGGAACAGGTGACGAATGAACAGTGAGTTTGATGTGCATGTAAGAATATAATGAAAAAATCCCATCTTTTTTTTTTTTTTCATTCAAGTATGAACAGTAAGTTTATGTGAAGTAGGGACAATCTCCCTTTTGCTGAGTAACAGTGCTAATTCCCGACCATGGCTCCCCCACCGATGCAAATGCCGGGGAACTCCATCTTAACCCTATTCTTTCTTTTTCTTCCTTTGTTTTCCAAGAACAAATGAAATTTAACGCCCCCCCCTCTTGAATTTCAAGGATTATTATCCCGATGTTGTTGTATTTACCACCAAATGTACTAGTATATTCATTCTTGATATCTCAAAATGTTGTTGGTTTTTGTTAGTTTGGGAGCAAAAACAGCCAACCCTAATTTCATGGACTTGTCTAGCTACTTGACACAGCACCAACTTCTTTATTAATTAATGAGGTGAGGTTAGTGTTTTTTTTTTGTTTTTCTTTTTTCTGTTAGGGCTTTTTTTTGTCCCATGTTTGTTAGTTTTTTAACTTTGTGTATTTGTTCGGGCATGGTTGTATGATTCGTAGCCAAGTAATTAATTTCACATCTAAAGTCAAATTGTTAATGCATGCACTCCAAAATGTGTAGTTTTGTTTCTAAAACGGTTGTTCTTGAACTAAAAAAGATGTTAACTGATTTTTCATCAGAAAGTTTTTTTTTTTTTTTGGTAAATGCGTGATAAGTATGGTAATTAATTATTTTGAGACGTGACATCATTCTAACAAAACTAAATAAATTATCTGAAATTTATTTGGCACCATGAGGAATGAAGTGAATCTACCTATATACATAATATATATTCAATCAAAGTAACTGTTTTTGAACCATCATGACTGAATCTATGGACTTGGTTTTAAGGTACTTTTTTTTCTTCACTTCTATTTACATGCAATATTTATATGCATGTGAACTAGAAGAATTATCTGTTCCGTACCCTTTTCAATTTTGATGTCAAAGTGAAAAAAGAGAAGCCCATCATACTCATAGTAAAAGATTACATGAATTTAATAGTTATGATAGTCTTTTTTTTTTTCTTTTTTTTTTGCAATTTTATATGTTCTCTCTGCTATCAAGAAGTAGTGCTGTTCATTCGTTTCAGAGTCCCAAGATTTATCTCTTTCTTCTTCACCTCTCTCTCAGTAGACAGTAGTAGTAGTACTTCTACCATCCATCCCATTCCCACCACCCCATTCTTGTTTGTTTTTTATACCCTTTGCCTTCACCATATATTTCCATCTTGTTTAGTCACACCTCACAAATTCATATCTTGTCTCCCCTCTTACTTTTTCCTTTCCCTCAAATATATATATAGGGCTTCTCTTAATGGCTTATATATATACACACACACACATGAATGGATGAATGAAACCCTTCAATCAAAATTGCATCTTTTTGTAATTTGGTGTTCTTGTTCACCACACAAAATACAACTTTTTGGTCATCTTCTTCTTCTTCTTCTTAGGTTCTCTCCATTCCTCTCTTGAGAAAAATTGCATCTTTCCTAGCTAGCTTATAACAATCATGAGTGATTATCCATCTTACTCTAATTACTTCAATGGATGGTTTGCTCTCAATAATCCCATCAGTTATCAGTTTCCTTCAACCAATAGTACTACTACATCATTTTACCCTAATAATAATTCCAGTACTACCTTCAACTGCTACTATTCATCAAACTCTTCTTCTTCCACCTCTTTCCTTGATTATCATCACCAACAACAGTTCTGCTCATCATTTGCACCACCATCACCACCTAAGAAAGAAGCTCTACCCCTTTTGAGTTCAAGCCCAGTTAGGGCTTCAGAAGCATCATCTTCTTCTTTCAACAGTTGTGCCATGGAAGTTGAGAAAACAAACAAGGAGAAATTAGGACACAACTTCATCTGCAACTTTGCTGATCATCATGATGATCAAGATGAAGCTTCTGTGACTTTGTCTTTACATCTAGATTTAGGGCTCTCCACACCTACCTCGGTTAATGTTGATGATGATCTGATGATCTCAAAGATCTGTTCATCAGAAGCAGCTATGGATAGGGAAGTAGTAGTAGAACAAGAAGATGATGAAGAAGAGGAAGAAGTTACTGTAGCAAACAATGGATATTCCTCATCTACCAGTACTACTACTCTTCATAAGGGTCAATATTGGATTCCAACACCAGCCCAGATTCTGATTGGTCCTACTCAATTCTCATGTCCACTTTGCTTCAAGACTTTCAACAGATACAACAACATGCAGGTATGTTGAAAAACTAGGACTTCAATCTTGAAAAAGGTTTCCCTTTTGCTTTATGATCATGATGTGTTTTTTTCTCTTTTAACCTTTTGATTTTGCAGAAAATGAGAAAGATTAATCTAATATATAGTATATTCATCCCCTCCTCTCTTTGTTAGCACACTGCTTTTCTTTCATAAACTTCAACCTTTCACTTTTTATTCTTAGGATTGATTGATATGATGAGTTTTGAAGTTGATAAGATGAGAGAGTCAATATGGGGTCCTTATTAGGGTTCAACTTTTCCTTTTTGCCAATCTTTAAAATGTTTTTTTAAAAAATCATTATATTAATTTGCTTGGTTTTCTTTTCTGCATGATTTGTGGATTTTGGGATCTGAAAATAAATTTGCTCTGGTCCAACTGATCAGGATGTGGTCAGTGGCTGTATCTTTATTTGATTTAACAACACAGACCCATAACACAGTATATGCTTTTTGTCCTTGAGGTTTGTGATTTACACATTGGCAAATGTGTCAACCAAAAAAAAAAACTGAACATTTGCCCAGTTCTTCTGGGCTCATTTCTAAAGTCTTTTTGATCATTAATTAAAGAACTGGAAAGAAAAAGGTTCCATAGTACCCAGAAACCTGAGCATTCAAATCAAACCTTAATAAGTTAATGTACAAAAGAGATAGCAGATGAACCACTTGAAGAAAATTTAACATGGGGAAAAAAAACCCCACTCATTCCATCTGCTTTCTCTGGCAGTTTGATGGAAAGGATAGCCAGAATTGGTATATTTTCTTCTTTCATCAAAAAGCACATGAAGTTTTTCCCTTATTCTACCATCCATTTCACTTTCATATGCTTTAAACAAACATAGATGATAGGACCACAAACACAAAAACATCAAAGTTACCATCATGTATTAGGTATAAATCAAATATGAGAATATTGTTGCAGAGACCATTTCTTTTATTCTTCTTCTTTTTTCTTTTCCACCCATTTCTGAATTTCTTCCACTGCTACAATATTTAGGAAGAAATATGCATGATTCAAGTTTCAACTCTAGCTTAGTGATGAAAACAAGCCATCATATTGATAACAAACAACAAAAAAAGAAGGAAGAAAGAAAAAGCTAAATGGCACTATATATAATAAAGTTTCTTAGTCAATGAATTGATTGGCCAGCACTTTTAATAGCGAATTTAACTCAGTCGCATGGCATGTTTCAAGTTCTTTATTAGGCTAATGTACTTGCAAGAATGCAGGTAAAAGAAATGAAGAAATGTCACTAATTCTGGTGGTTCTTTTTTTGCTATTTTTTGCCTAAGGATTCTTCAAAGGGTACCTTATTTTTGAACTAAATGCAAAATCTTTTTGCTTGATCTGTATTTTTTTTTTAGATGCATATGTGGGGGCATGGATCTCAATACAGAAGAGGACCGGAATCTTTAAGAGGAACCCAACCGACAGCGATGCTCCGGCTACCTTGCTATTGCTGCGCACCCGGTTGTCGAAACAACATTGATCATCCGAGGGCGAAGCCATTGAAAGATTTCAGGACTCTTCAGACACATTACAAGAGAAAACACGGGATCAAGCCGTTTATGTGTAGGAAATGTGGTAAGGCATTTGCTGTGAGGGGTGATTGGAGAACCCATGAGAAGAATTGTGGGAAGCTGTGGTATTGCACCTGTGGTTCTGATTTTAAGCACAAAAGATCGCTGAAAGATCACATCAAAGCCTTTGGGAATGGACATGCGGCTTATGGGATTGATTGTTTCGGAGAAGAAGAAGATGAACCCGCCTCAGAAATCGAGCAGGATAATGAGTCCTCTCAATGATTTCATCAAGTTTTTCCTTTTGCTGTCTCAGAATGAAGTCCATTTTGGAGAGAATGAATGTAGTTTTGAGGCCTATTTTTCATGCTTTTTGTTTAGAGTTTTTCTAGCTTCATTTAAGTTAGTTTCATGATCTGTAGTTAGTATGTCCATTGGAGACAATATCACTGCATATTTCCAAGTTGGAGACACTGTTATATGATGAAGTCATTGTAAATGCAGCTTTGATTACTCGCAGTCAATTGTCCTTTTGGGTGTGTGGCTTCTCAAGTTATATGGAAAGCTGAATACGACTATCAAAAATCAAAATATATAGAAAGCCATTCCATGATGAGTAATGTACCTTTAATAACTGTTACATTTTGGCCTTTTGCTTCTTACAGTTTTTATATTAAAGAGTTTTACCAATTTGAGATACTAAACTTATAGTATTGTACAATTTATTTGGATTCATTCGTCTCATGAAAATACTGCCATGACTATGTTTACGTGACGAATGGATTGGAGTAGTTAAGGAAAAAAAAAACCCTCTCAACCAGCTAACAGAAAGGTGTTGAAAAAAAAATGAAAAGAAGAAAAGGCCTAAAACCAAGGTCTTGCATGTTGAATCCATCCATTCCATAAGCTAGTGAGGCAAACTAGCTTTACAAGCAAAACTCAGGAGAAAACTGAAAAGTTGATGGAAAGATGCAGTTTTGAGTTTCAGTTACAAGGTCATTTGTTTGAATCCCCTGCTGAACTGACTCTACCTAAATAGCAGCCTCAGCTTTGTTGTTCAAATCTCTCTAGCTTAGAATCAGTAAAGAAGAAACCTATGTTAAATCAATGTAGCAGCAGCAAAAGCAGGAGTAGTAGTAATCAGTTGGTTATTATACATAGAAACAGATATTTCAAATCAAATCAAATGATTAGGTTGAGACTTGAGAGAGAGAGAGAAAGGAAGAGAGGGCCCCCCCTGGAGTTAACAAGCAATTGGTTTGAGAGTTTTTATTATACTTATAAGATGATAAAGAAAATCACAGAAAAAGTGGGGATGATGGGAAATGGATTTTGATGGCAGCTTTGGTGAAAGTTGACAAGAGAGAGAGGAAGATAGGAATAGGATAGGATGATTGTGAGTGAGTCAAAGAAAGAGAGAGAGTGAAAGGAGTTGATGAGAGGTCATGTCTGAGAGGGGCATATAAAATGTAGTTTTCTTCAGGTAGCTTTGGGAAGTAGTAGTAGTAGTAGTAGAAGTAATAATAGTACAATGTACTCTGCTGCTGCTGCTGCTGGTGGTATGAATTATGAGAGATGGCATCAGAATTTGTCCTACCACCCTCCCACACACACACACACACACACACACACACACACACACAGTCACACACTCCTTTAACTTTTACTTATGATATGTTGTTGCATGCACAGTCGCAGTCTTTGGTCTTTTTTTGGCAGTTTGGTCATTCTGCATTCTTAGCACACAACCATGACTGCATTCTTGGCTTCAAGCTTCATCTTTTTTTGAGATATAGTGATCATGTTAATATTTTATGTGATTATGTCACTCTTATTACATCGTCATATAATTAAAATTTTATAATATTTCTAGTTTCTTGGTGTAAACCCAGCTGGACGGAATTTGATCTCTGTTAGACAATCAGCGGCATAATTACCTTAGTTGCATAAACCCCCGCAAGCATTATCATTTTCTATTGTTATTGTCAAATTCGAATTATTTAGTTAATTTGGAGTTTTGTGTTGAGATAGATGGAGTAACAATAATTTAATACCCAATACAAGAAAATATGATAATGAAAGATATAATCTCTCCTGTTCTTATTATAAGTGATTTTTTTAATTTTTTTCGTAAATTTCTTTTTTGGTGTTATTTTCATTGGAAAACTCAAAAAAAATATATTTTCCCGTTTATTCGGTTGTTTCAATTATTATAAACTATTTTTATGATTTCTTTTTTAATTAAAAAACTACGATAAATAAAATTAATTTAGGAGAAATCAAAATGATTCATAATGAAACTTAGGAGTATATCTAATCGTAGGTCACATCAATTTTATAAATTAGTAACCTAAAATGTCAAGAAACTAAGAAAAATTTAGTGAAGGGTGAATCTAATGAGATTATTTTTTTCTTGAAATTTGTGTACCAAGAAAAGTTTATCATTCATTTTGCTCGCATTCAAATGACTTGGAGTTGGTTGCTCAAGTAGGATAATTTTCTTTTCTAATAGAATTGGGAAGACACTTTAAATTAAAAATAATTATTAATATATATCAAGTATTTAATAACATTGATATATTTATAAATTAATATAATATCCTATAAAATTTTGAGGTCAAATAACATTAATTTAAAGCGTTTTTTACTGTAGTGAAAATCCAAACGGGAGCAAATTAGATAATTAAAAAAAAATAAAAAAAATAAAAAACAGTTTGTGGGGGTTTTACTACCTTTCTTTGGCGAGTATTTCCAGTACGGCAGTAGTATAATGTATAAACTACTTGGAAGTACTGTTCTGATCCGTCATCCATGTCGAGTCTACTTGATTAGACTGATCATACTGCATTACATCTTATGATGTCATAATTTTTATTATTTCTATCCTTTTTTTTTCTTTTTCTTTTATCTGAGAATATGTCATAAATTTTATTAGTTACTCCCTCTGTCCCAAAATTATTGTCCAATTTGATATTTCACTTCTGGTACAATTTGAACTAGAAATGAAAATCAAAACTGGACAATAATTATGAGACGGAGAGAGTATTACGTAATGATATGACAAGGGAAAATTTTCAAAATGGACTTTTGAATATTGCATGTAGTGCAAAATGTAATTATTAGTCTATTATATGTGGGGTGAAGCCTATGGGGAAGGGGGTAGTACTACTAGGGAGGGACTCCACGCGCGTGCACACTTCGATCTAGTACTCAGAAAACCTTCCTGGCGGGTGCAAGATAATTCAGTTATAATATAGAGCTCCTAGGTACACCTTGAAATTCACGCGCCCAAAAAGAGAGTAAAAAAAAAGATTTTTCAAATTTTCAATTTCCTAATATCTCTCCTAATTTTCAGCCATCATTAATCATATCCATCCAACTTCCTATTCTAATCCAAAGACGTTTCAAACTAAAAAATCTAAAAAACAAAATATTCTCTACAGCGATTTATCATCAAAACCTCTTGTCGGCAGCGATTTGGCATCAAAACCTCTCGTCGGCGGTATTTTTCAAGACGAAATCCAATTGTGCATCAAATCTCGTGAGTTTGGTTGCAATATACGCTGCTGAATATGATAACTACGGTAAAATTTGATATTATTCATTTGTTTTGTGTTTTGTCCGTTGAATTTTAGAAAAGATTAATAGATCTAGGTGTTGTTCATCAGTTTAATAGATATGTTTTGTGTTTTGTCCGGTGATAATTTTCTGGCGTGGGAGTTGAGAAGGAGACTTCTGAATATGGCGGTGAATAATCTGATGAAATCTTCCGACACTAATAATTCTGCTAATCGCGATGGTGATAAAGATGATGATGACATCTCTAGGAGGAAGAAGGATTTGAGATTATCCACCATCAAAGTTCAGTTCGCCAAAACCTCTTCGAAGGTTGCCGCCGAAGCTGGAGTCCGGTTCCAAGACTTAGAAAGTTAATCGGTGGTCGGAGAAATTAGCAATTGGCCCCAAAGAGTAAGAAAGAAGAAAAGAAGAAACTACCGAGCAAAGTGGGAGTCTTTAGGAAGAAAGTATTAGCAGAACAAAGAAAGGCAACACTCAGCAAGAATAAAGAAAAAGAAACAGAGGATGATGATATTAAGACCACTCTGCCCCCCAATTCTTCAATTGTTTCAAGTGGAAAGCGAAAAATTTCCAGTATCGTTAATTCCCCTGAAGATGAAGAGTTTAGGGCGTCAAAGAAGACAGCTCGAATGACAACTCTGAAAAGCAGCCATCCGATGGCACTAGAAAACAAACCATTGAAAGAGAATCTGAAGGAGAAGAAGATGGGGGGCAGGATTATATCTATTTTATTAAATTTTTTTATATACACAATTACAAGTACCTAGTCTATTACACGTGGGGTGACGCCTATTGGGAAGGGGGTAGTACTACTAGGGAGAGATTATACGCGCGTGCACGCTTCGATTTGGTACTCAGAAAGCCTTCCTGGCGGGTGCAATTTAACTCAGTTATAATATAGAGCTCCTAAGTACACTTTGAAATTCACGCGCCCAAAAAGAGGGTAAAAAAAAAAGATTTTTCAAATTTTCAATTTTCTAATATCTCTCCTAATTTTCAGCTATCATTAATAATATCCATCCAACTTACTATTCCAATCCAATGACGTCTCAAACTAAAAAATTTAAAAAATAAAATATTATTTGCAGCGATTTGCCATCAAAACCTCTCATCGACGGTATTTTTGAAGACGAAATCCGATTGTGCATCAAATTCCGAGAGTTTAGTTGCAATATACACTGTTGAATATGAGAATTACGGTAACATTTGAGATTATTCATCTGTTTTGTGTTCTGTCCGTTGAATTTTGGAAAAGATTAATAGATCTAGCTGTTGTTCATCAGTTTAATAGATTTGTTTTGTGTTTTGTCCAGTGGCAAAGATTTGAGATTATTCCCGTCGATTAGTTTTGTTGATCGATATGTGGTTGATTTTGGAAAAGATGAATAGATCTAGGTGCTCTTCATCAGTAATATCATTATTCATCTTTAAAACATGTTAGCTCATGGATATTCTAGTCTTGTTCATTGCTTTGTGGTTGATTTCAGAAAATATTCATAGATCTGACATTATTCATCATCTCGGTATCATTATTCATTATCAATGTGTGGTTGTTTTAGTCATATTTTCTTCTTCTGTGAAATGTTTATTCATCATTTATCATCGATTAATGATGTTAGTTCATCAATTTCTTAGTTTTGTTCATCGATCTGTGGTTGATTTTGGAAAAGATTACTAGATCTCGGCTTTATTCATCAGTTTAATATCATTATTCATCTTTAAAACATGTTAGTCCATAGATGTTTTAGTCTTGTTCATCGATTTAGTTGATTTTGAAAATCAGATTTTGACATCATTATCTATTTCTGGCGGTTATTCATCATCTCGATATCATTATCCATCATCAATTTTGGGTTGTTTTAGTCATGTTTTCTTCTTCTGTGAAATGTTTATTCATCATCTATTTCTAGTTATTCATTATTTTCGCATAGTTATCATTCTAATTGTGATACAAACTACTAGTGATGTTGTTTATCATGTAATATGTGATTGTACACAATTGTAAATATGTGTCATTAATCCTGTAAAATGGTGTTATTCATCTTGTCAATATATGTCATTCATCGTTTGAACATGTTTTATTCATTCCGTAGATGTGTATTCATCATATAAATATATGTCATTATCACCAGTTATGTTGTTATTCATCATGTAATATGTACCGTACACGATTATTATCAACTGGACTCGATTTATGTAATTTTAATATTTATTCATCATTTTCAAATTGATTATTCATCTTCAATAGCATTGTTATTGATGATTAACAGAATTTTGATTAAATGTGAAATCTCACTTATTTTATTGTTCTTTTTGTTTGATCAACGGCAAAGAAATGCTAATCAAGATGAACTCGATCGGTCGGGAATCAAATATTTGGCAGAGTTGCTGAAATCAAACAATCAACATATAGGTGTTGAGTATCGGCGAATCATTCAAGACCGTATATGTTAAAAACAATGACTAGTGTTATTAATAATGTAAAATAGTGTTATTAATAATGTAAAATAGTGTTATTCATCTTGCAAATATATGTCATTCATCGTTTGAAACATGTGTTATTCATTCCATAGATATGTGTATTTATCATGTAAACATATATCTATTCTTCATTTTATTATTGTTATTCATCTTGGATGGTATCGTTATTCATCAACATTTGCTTCGTTATTCATCTTTGTAGATATCTATATTCATTTCAAAATTTTAAATTTATTTATCCATAACTTTGTCACTATAAGAACATCATTATTCATGCACAATATTATCATTATTCATCGATAAGAATACTATTATTCATCCGAACAAACATCGTTATCCATTAAAATCTTCTATATTTGACGCTTAATTCTCTAGATTTCATTGATAATCAATTCAAAATTTTTGCTCCAATTGATTCTTCGGATTTATAAGTCTCGATGATGAATCATATTCAATTTTACGCAAATAAAATCCATAGCTATAAAAAAAAATTCTCATAAAATAAAATAATATAAAAGATAACTTGATAAGCAAAAAAGAAAACGGTTTAAAATTAAATGTGTGAGAAAAAAATGGGATGAGAATTAGAGGATTTAATGTGCGTATAACTGAAAATTAGGAAAAAAAAAAAATCAACTTGCGTAGAATGAGAGTGTATTACACATACCCATGAGGTACACCTTGCAAAGTATACCTAGGTGCTTGTTATTATTTGCCAAGATCACCTGCACAACTCAACAAACATGGTGTTGTTAGTGAGGTTTGAACCTGGGACCTCTAGGTTTGATGCCATGCCCATTTACCAGGTTTGATGCCCGTTTACAAATTGAGAAATGGTTAGTTATGTGTATGAAAAGATTGTAAGAATCGTATTTGAAAAAAATTACATTTTAGGGAGAAGAAAATTCCAAATTTCTCTAATGTAAGCATTTCAAGACAACAACAACAGTAAAAATAACAATAATAATAATTACAATCATAATAATAATGAGAATTACACGAAGCTTAATACCGTAAAAATCTTGAGTATTGATTTACCATTATTCTGGAAATTGAGGTACTTGAGTTAAATAATTCCCCAAAAATAATTCAAAAATAGGGGAGTGTCCATATGTATGAATATCGGATTCCGAAATCCGATTTTTGATAAATACCAAAGTTCAAAAATCCGATTTTTATTCACATCAAAAGTTAAAATCAAATTTCAAAAATCCGATATTTATACTTTTGGTCACTTTCCTATTCCTGAACTAAATTTGGCCACTTTTATTTTCATTGATTATTTTTTGGTCAAAAACTCCTGGAAATTGTAAAACTTTTGAGGCCAATATATAAAGAAACCAATTGGGTTAGTTAACCCAACAAAAATAATAAAAATGATGAAACTAATCGAGAATGACCAAGAAAGAAAGCACTTGGATAAGGTTGCGTTAATTTCAGTTAAGACAGCCTAAACTGCATGTAGTTTGGCAAACTACATTTGGCGACATAAAATCGTATAGACAACGTCATGGGATATTATTATAGGTTATTAAAAAAGGCTACCGAGTTGGAAATTTGAAGTATTTTCATCAAATTAGTACTGTGATCATGTCATAATTTATTACAAAAACCGCAGATATGAAATTATGTTTACAGGTAAATTTCAGTAGGTAACTGTTGGATGTTTTTGAATAAATGGGAAGTTACTTCCTCCGTTCAACCAGACCCACCTCCAGGGCGGCCGGAGGAACTGTCAAGGCTTGCAGATCAGAAATGATGCAGCCAAATGTGTTGGTGATGGTTTTACAGTGGAGCTTACAATACTGTTTCATCAGCTCTGGTGTATAGAGCAGGAAAATTTACAGTAACAAAGGATCCTGAGAAGTACCTGCTCTCTTCTTTCTAAAATGATCCGTATAAGATTGTAGTGTTTTCTCAGAAGCACTTAAGGTAAAATGTGTTCTGGCATTTACCACGAATTAGCAGATTGTCAAGGGCTCTCGCGACAAAGAGCTAGTCATTTGTTTCCAGCCTGCAAGAATCCAGATCGCATTGCTAGCTTTAATGATAAGGACGGTCAAATTGCTTCACAAGCTCATATCCTCTGGCAAGCTGAGCTCGAGAAAATACAAGCTGCAAATATAAGAGGCAAACCTATAATCAGACCAAGCATTACGTAGCTTATGGATGTTACATGGGTAGGATTCACGGACAAGAAAAGAAAATATATACTTCCAATTCTTCCTCTTTAGATGTCCTATGTTGCATTTTATAATGTAATGCTTTAAGCGAATAAACTTCTAAATCATCTTTTTAGTCGGAGGGTCAAAATGAGCTAGCAGGTTTTGATTTAACATATATCTCATAGCTTTCTCCTTCATAGCTTTCTCTGTGCTTTATCTTAACTAGGAAATTTGTCACCTACCTGGCAGACATGAATGCCATTCCAAAGAATACAGCTTTGACAGCTTGCTTTTGTCCAGCATAATCAAAAGCCAATGGTAATAATTCATGCAAGGTCAAAAAGGCCATCACTCCACCAACTGCAAATCACAAGAAATGGCAAAATTTATGCTTGAATCCAATATGTCATCATCCGAATCAGAGATTCAGAAGTCAAAACGAGAGAGGACCTGATCCAAGAAGACCTTCCAAAACTTCAGGGTTCAAGCTGCTCGGAAATAAGTAGGCTGCAATAAGTGGAAGGTAAGAAAATTTTAGCTGAAGTCAAGTCTACTTCTTACTGAAGAGATTTCATACATTTGAATCAAGAGGTGGAAACAACCTACTATAATGACACCAAGAGGCTCAGCAAAGCCAGAAAGAGTTGCAATTTTGAATGCCTTCCATTTACTGTACGAACATAAACTCACACTCGATAAAAAGGATGCAAATCATTTTTTAAGTGATATAACAATATTATTACAAAGCAACAGAACTCCAAGAATTTAACAAGAACAGTTTTCTCTCTGCACGGCATATTATATGAGACTCAATAGCAGTGCCATCTTTTTTTCACCTTTGCGTTGCAAAATAAACAGGGAGCGCAACAGCAAGACCCTGTAACACATGATAAAAAGAGCAAAATAATTAGGGAAAAAGAAGATGATGTTACATGCTCAATTTCAAGGTAACAGCAAAGCTGTGAGAGAATGAAAAAGACTTGAGCGCCATTAAATATCATGAGACAACGCAGTTTGGCACGCATAAATATAATTGCATGTCAATGTCTTCTATACCTCTGGAATATTGTGCAAGGCAATAGCAAGAGCCAGATTGAGACCAACTCGAAGCCCCTGCCCAGAACAGGAGATAGTAATCCATCAATATGAGCTTAAGCATGAATTCATCCTCTATGCAGTAAACTGATTTCAATTCAAAGCTCTATTTAAATATTGCCACATTGTTAAGTGATATATCAGGCCAGCAAAGGTACCTTGATTGATCCAAGAAAGACTGCCATTCCTTCTGGGAAATTATGCAAGCTTATACCTATTGAAGATGGAAGAATGAAATGAAACATCCCACGTTAGACCAAAATGACTGCTATGGAAAACTTTCAGAAAATCCATTCACTAAAACTACAAAATCTAAAATTTATAATAAAATGAAATAAGAGAGAAACCATAGCTATAGAAACTTGAGAACTTTTCACTCAAATGGATAAGAAAAAAATAAGGAGGCTTCATAAAGAATAGCTGCTTAGACTCTGCTCAGAAAACTTAAGGAATGTTTGCTTCAAAGTTGGAAAGATATAGTTTAAAGAAACTGAAGTCCAAGAGAAGGGCAACGGGAAGTTAGCTCTGATGTTGACTTCAGTTCACCCATGATATGCAATTAAATGATCAGCGGGAAGCTGTAGAAATTTCTAGCAAGGACGACAGATTATTCAAAACCACAATGACTTTTAAACTTTCCATATTTAATGGAGAAGAGATGGTATCCGCAACCAAAGTGATTCAGTGGATGAAAAGCTTTGGTTGACATATCTAAACTGATAATGCAGGACTTTGCACCACAGAATAAGTTCCATCATCACGCCATACCAAGTCCAGTGCCAACTCGTCGTCTCAAAAGAAGATACTTAAAATGAACTGGTTCAATCACAAAAAGTAACATGGAATAAAACAAGATAAGGTTACAATAAGTCCTAAAGAACTATTCGCAATTCTAATAGAAAGGCCCTACAACCTCTTTGTACCAATTAAAAATAATGAAAATGAATATGTGATGCATATCTTGAAGAGACATCATTGCACACCCAAGCACCCATAAACTTTAACGGAAAATGAGAAATCAGATGAGAACAAAGTTAATTGAAATTTAGACTGATAAAATATTGACCTAAGCACAATAATCATATTAGTCACTACTTGTATAATCAGATATCCAACTGGTGAAACTGAAAGTGGTCAAAGAGACATTCCTATAACAACATAAATTAATTACATAAATCTAAAATGGGAATAGGAAATATCAGTATGGCAAACTTACCTACTGCAGTGATGATTCCACTAAACAAGACTTGGCGTCGATGCTTCTTCATCAGATCCTTTCCATCATCATCCCCGTTTATCTGTCCTCAAAAACAATGTATACTCTATCAGATGACTTCAAATTCATTTGCTAGAGTAAGGAACTAGGACATTTTCTGCCACCTTGAAAACTTGAACATCACCTTTTTGCTTTTCGCATCTGAACTTGGAGCAAGTACAGGCTCTGGGATTAGACTAGAAACAATTCCAAAGAAAATTACACCTGCAAAGAACTACGAGCAAGAAATTACAAACATACATAATAGTGATACAGTAGGTTTTGTAGAAAGACAAAAGAATAAAATCAATCCTGAATAGCTTACCCAGACATTTCCCCTTAGAAACCCAATGGAGTTCATGGCATTATGAGCTAAATCAAAAAATGAGATACTCAACATCAGTCCTCCAGCAAAACCCTGCACCAGAAGGTCGGATAATTTGATTAGTTATGCAATTTTAACTTCACAAGTCTCACAAACTATAACCAGATTTACAAACAAGTTTATAATGTTCAAAAGCATTTTTGGAGGCACTATTACGCTGTATTGCTTGTTACCAGTAACGCAAACAATGTCCCAAATCAAAATTGGAGACACATAAAGACACAACTTCCAAAGTTAGTAGTTTCTGCTGAATAGTCACCTGTAGAAGCCCAAGCATCTTCATGTTTGGAACCTGATTAAGAACCACAAGCAGCGCACCTGAGCAGAATATGGAGTAAATATTGAAATATCAACAGCTATGATCTAATTAATTCCAACTTGACGCGCACAAAAATGTCATGCCAATACTAATACTATTGCCGACATGAAGATTCAGGCATCTATTCGAAACTCAACCAAGTCAACTTTCTTCACAGAAGCAACCAGACCATGCATTTTCAAAAATAAAAAATCGATGTTTGACAGGTCCTCGAGGAAAACATAAAGTGTCCAATTCAATAACAGACTAAGTTGTTGGTGTATACATTATATGACCTCGATTAAGATTGTCGCTATTTCTAGAAACCAGTCACTTGGTCCACTTTCCAAACATAAACCAAAAGGGACCCTTTCGCCTTTTGAAACAGCCTCACAACTTCATAAGTTACTCAAAGTCCAACGAAGTTCCACACATAATATTTCGGGCAAATGACCAACTTTCATGAAGAACATGAGAACAATATTTACAAAAAGATATTGGAAACAATTACTGTGAACAGAGCTATATATTATAAAATTTGACTCAAGCAATAGCTACAAAGATCCTCACAAGTCAAAGCGGAAAGCTGAATTTCAAATAGCCTGGAAGCAACCAAAAACTCAAACTGTGACGATGATAAGATGAAAAAAGAATTCCAAAGACAATTAAAGAATTACAAAAGGGCAATATAAGATCATGTTGCAGTTTTCACTGAGTCACAAGTTTTCACTGAGTCACAAATAATATCCACCCCTTTTATAACACCAGCAAGACATTCTAGCAAGCAAACATAGGGGAGTTATAGTAACGAGCACATATGATTACATCAAACTTAAAGATTATATATGTTATGAAGAAGTAATAGTATATCCAAATTTACATAGCTAAAAGGACCAGCAATGCATGCAGACAATTAACAGCAAAAACACTAAAACTTGATGCAACTGCCATAAGAATCTATAGTGCTTGATGTGTTTTAAACATCTAAACATCTTCTCCAAGTAATCTAACTCCCTCCCAGTCCTCTTCCCGTCTTAAAAGCTCAAGCCACATTCCTGGTACAAATCCCTCTGCCGGCTTCTGAATCAGGAAAAGCCCTATAATTTTAAACATGACGAAGTATCTATTCCACAAGTTTAAAATCATACTCTCTAATGTCTGGTCTCTTCAAATCACAATTGAAACACTCCTCCCAGTGCAAGCATATTTTGGTCAAACATACAATCATATCCGACATGAACCAAAACTCAAAAGATGATAGCATCATGTTGGAAATAACATACAAAATGCTCCGCAAACATAGAAATCGATTGTACACAACACAAAAGTCATTAAAATGCATAACACAAATGGCTACCAAACTTTCCTTCATACATGAAAATGCCAACTAAACGAGGGCCAACAACTATAAAACAACATCAAAATCTTCCAATCTTCTAAAAATCAATTTAGGAACATCCCTCATCCTATGTGATCCATAAAGCTGTCATTCTTCCATATATTATCAGCAATCTATGTAACGTTGCAAGGAACAGGGCACAGGATTACAAACGCCAAACTTCAAAATGTTAAGAAATTAATTGACTGCAACATAAAGGGGAATCAAAAAAGAATTCCAATATATACATGGTGCATAACAGAAATGACTCACCGATAGATGTACTCAAGCCACCTATAAGTGAAAGACCAAGAGCAACAAGAACTTGAGAATCCATTTCCTAATTTCTGAGCCCTCTTTACCCAACGCAAAAATTATACCAAAATTCCTGGTTCAACGAAATTCAAAGCAGCAATTGTAAAGGGCTCTTGAGTTTTCAAAGGAAATTTGCTTAATCAAACTGAGCGAGCAAACTGCTAAGCAACAAAATTGTTAAACACAGACTCACAGTCACGGTTCGTCAGCTAGTTTTGACTCTGCTTTCGTTACATAAGACAGCATGGATCATATACTTCATTCATAATTCTCGCTATTTAATCCCCCTTTGACCAATTATTTTAGTGTTACTTTTTTTTTATATATATAAAAAAGAATAATAATAATTTCTAACAGTAGTTAAATCATTGAGAGTATCAAATCTTTAGAGTGGTGGTCTTGGTGGAGATGATTGCTAGTAGCTAATTAAATTTTAGTTAAATTATTAGAACTTTGGTTAAAAAACCAGCATAAATTTGAATTTTTTGGTCGTAACACCACCAAAGATACTATGAATTGGGAAATTTTGGTTTTGATCCCCAAACTTGGCCTCACTATGATAATTTTAGTCTTAAAAAAAACACTGTATTTTGTAAGTTAAAAAAAAAAACTTGGAATAAAAAGATCACCTTTTCATTGTGATGGGTGGGTTGGCAGGGCATGTTGTGAATGAGGGTGTTGGCCCCTGTTTGGTAGAAGGAAGAATCTTGACCTCAAATAAGAATGTAAACTAGATGCTTGGTCTCACAGATGGCCGGACGCTCCTCTACTTTAATTTTGTGTTAATAGATAAATAAATTCTTGGTTTGAAAAAAAATAAAATAGCTACACATTTAGTTTTTTTTTCCTTTTTTAGCCAAAAATAAAAATAAAAATAAAAATAAAATCATCTGTTAAAGGAGAAAAAATATTAAAAAGTACAACCATGCAGAAATCATACAAAAGAATGTGGAGTAATAAAGGGAATAAGTTTATGGGCAAATTTAAATGCTATTTTAATTTGATTGATAAATGAAAAATGTTAGGAGTTAAAATTGTGTAGCTATTTTTGTAAAATAGCTTTTGTTTCTCCAGATAAGAATTTTTTTTTACAAAAAAAAAAAGGGATGACACGTGGCAGATTGGTTAATGTAATATAGTGCATTTGGAGCCAAAATTTTTTAATAAGAAGTTGCCACATCAACATCATGTATTCTACTTTAATAGGGTAAAAGAGATTAGTGTAAGATAATTTATTGAACATGTATTTAAAAATGAATACTTAAAAATTGGTAGAAGCTATTTTATGTTAGTATATATGGCGATTAACTTCTAATTTATGGAAAAGTGGCCGACAAGTTGAATTCGATGTTTGTTGAACGGTGAAATTACATGTCTAGCATTTGTAAGAATTGGGAGGATTGCACAATGTCATTGTAGTAGTATGATTTTCTTTTGAGAATTAAAAAGTTAAAAAATTCAATGAATAGTTAATATCACAAGATGGAGGGAGAGTCAGACTTCAAAACTTCATTTAGGCAATCCAATAGTTTTAAACTTCCCTTTCGAGATTTTGATAGGAAATGAAGCCCCATCCACCAGCACACACAAACAAAGGAACATCTTGAGTCTTGACTACAGCAGAAACCATAATTTGAAGCTAACTACAGACAAGAAGGCCTGTTCGGGTCAATGATAGAGAAGAAGCTTAAAAGTTGCAGGGTTCTAAAAGTTTCACTAATGTACAATAACAATTACAACCTTTCTGAGTAATCACGCAGCACGTTACCAACTTTCTTAACGCTAACATTAGGTATTAACAGACAACGAGCACCTAGAAATTCGTTCGCTTAAAAGCATTTACGATGAACAACTGCTGGTCCATTTTCGTCGTAATCTGCCTTTGTAATGTGCTGGTTCTGTGGGAACACAACTTTGGCGAGTATCGCACCTCCCACCCATGCCGAATATTGGGTTAATTTCTCTGGCATATACTCCGGTGCCTGACATCATTAGAAGAAATCAGTTGAAAAAGACAATTTCTGAAGCTTCCTGTCGCCAGGACAGTATATAAGAAACAAGGACCATCTTTTCTGAGTGCACAATGTAATTTCAACATAACATAAACCTAAATCCTTTCACTCTGCCAAACACAAGAAACCAAGTATTAAACAAAAGAGCTTCTCTAGCTCAAAATGTCGCGTGAACTTCGATTAAAATAGTGAGCAAACAAAAGTTTAGAATTTTGGAAAAAGGTGACAATATACCAGGAAAAACAATATATGAAAATCTCCAGAACAGGCCATTTTTCCTAGTATTGCATTGAAATAAAGGCAAAGATAGTCCAGGAGAAAAAGGGAACTAGAAATATAAACACCTTTACAAGAGAAGGACGAATGGCTGATGAGCAAAGGTTAGCTTCTTTCTGGAACCTGTCCTCAAAACCTGCATCCGCAAGTTCCGAAAAAGAGGAAAATTTTATGAACTCGGGCGACGAAACCTCCTACAGTATCCATTGATAAATTAAGGGGAGACGTTACCAGGCATGGAAGCAGTGCCACCACAAACTACAGTGTTCTCTAATAATTGTCGGTGGTTTTCAGATGAGACGGTTGATATGCTACGAACAAGTTGCTCTACAATGCCATGAGCCTCTAAACCCATAACAGACGGCTGGAATAGAGCCTCCCCAACTGTGTATCTTTCTTTTCCGATTGTAATCACCTGACAGCATGGCAACAAAAAGATAATTAGTTAATTGGACAAAATATTTTGAACAAAAAGAAGTACCAATTCGTAGATTAAGCTACACAAATCTGACAAATAGTGATTCCTTTCCGCAGAAACAGGAATTTATGTAAGCATAATGTAACTTTCTTCCACTTCAATCTGACATTCCAGAATTTCCTTCTCCACAAAAGCAAAAGCAATTCTTGAAAAGGAAATTAAACAGAACAGCTTCTTTTGCGGCATGGTCGATTCAGCCAAGACAAGATCAATATTTGTACATAATAGAGGCAATACTTCAATACTTTCAACCAAATATCTTTCAACAAGACATATTCCAAAGTCCCAGGGAATGGAAATAGACTGACTGACGACATGAAGGTGAACTAGTGAAAATCAAACAATTTCCAACAAATAATGAACATCAGACACGATGAAAATACACACGATTCATTTGATCAGGTTCCTTCCAGAACCTAAGAATCACAAGTACCCCAATCAGAGGGGGGTGGAAGGGCTTCCTAGATTCTGGCCATCTCACCACGTACTACATTTGGCGTAAGAGGAAAAGCATCAATTACGTGTCCGCCAGTAGCATTAGACACGTTATTTTAAGGTCAATGAACACAAAAGATGTCCTAAAATATCAAACCACAATCGGCCAACCTGGTAATTCCATATCAATGGATCGAAAGTTATGCATCTTACTATTTTAGTAAATGGAAGCATAGACAAATGGAAATGAGATGTTAAGGCTTGCAGAATTGAAGCGTCAGACAACTTAGTTCACATGGGCAACCATGCTGTTACATCAAAGTATTCATGCTATTGGAAGCAGGTGAAGTCAACCCAATTAGCAAAATTATCTCTGTCTAACCCTTGCCTTTAGGTAAGCATTAAGTTGAGACCAAACAATAAAATGGACAACTAACATGCAAGAAATAACAATCTGATTATTGCACGTGATGCTCCAAATTGTTCACATTCATGAAGTCACAATCTCCACCACAAATTAGGTATAGTTTGATGCCAAACCCCTAGAATATGATTATATAAACCTAATGAAGCAAAATGATGACTTGCTTAAATCATACAGATTATAGCAAATACCAGTTGATAATTATCAATTGAGTGATTCAACAGAGCACTCAATTGATAATTTCTCTAAATAGATTTTCAAATCTAATGTATTAGCTAAGGAACCATTCAAACCAGTCCATCACAAAGAAAGTAAAATCTAGTTTAATGACAACCCCTGTAATATGATTATATGAAGCAAAATGATCACTAGCTTAAATCATACAAATTATAGGGAATACTAGCAATCACTGGTGATTCATCAGAAAACTCATTGACAATATCTCTAACAAAATTTTCAAATTTGATGTATCAGCAAGGAAGCATAATATTCAAACCTGTCCATCAGGTAATACATGTTGCTCTTCCTGGCATGACATTTGAGTCTTTTCATAAGCAAGTTCATCCTCAGCACAACAAGCATATTTCTCCTTAATTTTCTCTGCATCTAGAAAACTGAGTTTCACCTGAGGGTTAGACTTGGCAAGTTCCTTAACCAGTAGATTTGTTAAATCCAAACCCCCCAACTCATATCTTCTAGATGCAATGTGCTGAACAGCACCTTCAATAACTGGAGCTATATCTGCATAAAGGGAAAAGATAAAACACATCACGTAACAAAAAGGATTATCTATCACATTATATTAGTTTAATACTTGATGTCAAAGGGAACCGACACCCATAGCTTCAGAATTCAGTTTAACCACAAAAAAATCCATACAAACTTGTCCGAACCAAGACTACTTTATGAAGATGGATTTTAGACCAGTCAAAATGAAGATATGTCATTTGAAAGGAAAAAAGAAGCCGTTGATAAGTGAGCCTACTAAATAATACAAGGTTCTAGTTTCAGGTGTATCTTCTCCTGTCAAGGACACTCTCGTAACCAAAATCCCTGGATCCACTAGAGGATCTCTTATGCCTTGTCCATTCCACTTTATCCACTTACGTTGAGGATATTCATTGAAACAACTCCAACCAAACTACCCACAGCTTTCAACCAAATCTGAAAACATCCATTGTAGGGATGTGCATTCCTGTCTCTGTTAGCTGTAACCTTAATAGAGATGTTTCAAGGAAATACATGCCAGCAAAACATAATTAGAACCAGTATCTTCTAGATGTCATGGTCACTCTCATATCCAAAATCCCTCGATCCACTCAAGTATCCCTTACCCCAAGTTCATCCTGTTTGATCCTGTTCCTTTGAGAATATCCACAGAAACGACTCTAACCAAACAACTACAAGGTCCACACCTTCCAACCAATAACTTTGAATACATCCACAGAAGGGATATGCATTGATTTCCACTACAGCAGTGAGTGCCATAACAGAGATGTTTCAAGGAATTGCAAAATATAATTAGAACCAGTAATCTCCTATTGATACCCATGTCAAAGGGTAGAACCATCCATATTCCCTGCATGCGTAAGCAAGGCTCATTGCAAAGTACCAGAAAATGTATTTTTATATTGCAAGTCACAATAAAAGGAACAATAAAAAATCTTCAGTTGAATGCAGAACTTAATCCTGGCATAGCTTGCAAGATCTTTTTCCTTTCCCTTTAAAGTGAGTCACAAATACTAACTTAATCCATGCCCCAGAGATGGGAAAAAGCAAAATAAATTTATAAGGATGCAAGGGCAGTAGATTAACATACCGATCTTCCCATGACCGATATCAACTGTGCAGCCTGAGATGCGCCCGACAGCATAAAGTGATAACACTGCTTGTTCAGAAGCATAGAAGCCAGTGATATTAAATGTTTCAAACATCAATTGCACCAACTGTTCTCTAACAGCCTGCAGACATATAATATAGATAACTAGTTGGATTTTCAAATTTCAGAAATTAATAATTTGTCGGATTAATATGTAGACAAAACAATGGCATATATTTATCCCTATGATTTTGGGTAATTTAATGTAGAGCATGTTATGCATTTCATCCTACAAACATGACAAGTTCTATTAGCATCCATAGCATGTCAAAAACAAGCCAAATTCTGATCGTATTTATTAACAAAAGAACAATGTGACATGAGTAACTGTTAATATTAAACAGATTTCCTAGGTATAATTTCAGCCATTTCCTAAATATTACAGAGATAAACCCCCAGACCATGGCTAATTTATTGTCCAAAAAATATGTGCGTACCAAATTGAACAAAATTAATACAGTAGTCAAATCATTTCAATTTAGGTGGATTCTCTGATGTGCCAGTTATTGCTTTATGAAATTTAAAGCAACGATCTCTAACTATAAGCATCATACTGGCACACTGCATGCCGATCATGCACACATTAACAAATGCTACAGAGGGGGAGAGAGAGCGAGAGAGACAGAGAGAGAGAGATTGTAAAACCTTCGGAGTGGAAAGTGGCTCTGTAAATAAAATCTGGCCTTCGTTGCCCATCTCCCAACCAAGACCAGTGTATAGAACATGATGTAATAAATCTTCCATAGCATCCCAGTCTTTCACAAAACCTCGAACAATCGGATCTACTGTAACGTCCTCATTCAAAGACGGGTCATCTAATGAAACATCTTCAGGAATGCGCTTCATTTGTGTTGGAATGCTCTAAATAATTCAAACCAATCACAAAAGCTATGGATAATTATGTTTTAAGCAAGAGGAAAAAAAAAGGTTGTGAGCCACTATCATCAAAACAGACAAACCAAACCTAGGCAAGATTCAAACGAGTTTCAACAAATAAATATTGGGTAAAACCTAGGCTTTTTAAAACCAAAATGCAGGCTAAAAGATGTCATAATTGCAAGTAGTAAAAACTTCAAATCCCATTCAATCATAATATCCTTAATCAAAGTTGCATAAACAAGCAATGCAGTAGTTATTTACCTATAGGCTACCACCGATTTTCAGATAAAGAACCCAACTTGTAACCAATCTGAGACTTCCTACTTCCCTATTCAATTAAAAAAAAAAAAATGCTTTTCACCACCACCACACCCTCCCCCCCCCCCCCCCCCAAAAAAAAAAAAAAAAAAAAACACACACACACACACACATACACGAACTTCTCAGCAAAACAGTAAAAGGGTTTTGCTCGCTCGGCAATTCGGAACAGAGAGTTAAGTCGATTTTTACGCACAGCAAATGTGCTAAAAGAAAACAAAGGAGCCGAAAAAGGAAGAAAGTAGCGAAATTGCCCAAAAGTTGCAGCTTTTCACCAATGTCATCCAAGTAATTTAAATTTAGGATTCAGCGGATGAACAATATCAACAGTGCGGATGCAAGATTTTGTTTCAGAAGAAAAACGGTTAAAACATACCAAGGAAGGAGGCTGGTCGGGGACGGCAGAACCAGCTTTTAAAATCTTAGAACCGGCGTCGACAACTACGGCCTCCATTATTATATTATATTTGGCACACGGCGGAGCACAGCTGACTGGGAGGAGAGAAAAGACAGTCCCACTGTTAAATTTGCGAAGGGAAGAAGAATACCAGCTATACTATTAGAGAAGTCAAATTATAAAAAGACTTTAAAATCGCACAAAATTTATTTAAACCCTTCCCCCTTCTCCTCCCCTCCCTCCAACCCCCAAAAAAATCGCACAAAATCAAGATTTTTTATCTAATTTAAAAATAAATCATAAAATAAAAGTCAGTAAAACTTCTATAAATTAATAAACTTGGGCCTTCAAAAGTTTATTAATTTATTATCGATAAAATAATATTTTATTAATTTAAATAGTTTTTTTCAATCTTATAAATAAGAAAATACAAATATTTATTATTTTTACATCAAGAAATGTCCGCAGTAATCCTAGCCATAATATTATAACTTTTTTAATAGAATAAAAATATGATAACTGCAAACGTAAACAAAAATAATTAAGTTCAAATCTAAGTTAATTTTCAAATCATTTTTATTATTTTAGGTATTTATTAATTTATGAAATTGTGGGAACCTATATTCACATAGAAAATGCTTGAAAAATTATTATTTTATAGATTAATCGAATTTTTTTTATTTATTTTTTGTACTGATCTCGAGTTGGGACCAGAGAAAAATATTATTTAATAGATTTTATTAATTAATAGAAGATTAATTTAGGAAACTTTTACTATATACTGTAATTTGTAGTAAAATTCCAGGTATGACTGGTTTTATAGCCTTCAATTTTTTGGAGGGTTAAATGGTACTCCTCCATCCCAGATATATTATATTAATGAAAAAAATTATGAGAATATCGTCATGAGAATATCTTAGTAAGTTAAATGAAAATAATGTATGTTATTTATAGTAATATATTAGCTTTTATTCTTTTTACCAAATGCTTTTTAAAATTTAAAAAAATTATTTTTCTAGGTTGAAAAGAGTAACAAGAAGAGAAACAGTTGTTTCTATTGTTAGGAGCCTTGGAGGGGCTGTACAAATCTAACTTTGTGTAAATTCGATCCGTAGCAGCTAGTTTTGTAGGAGTATTATCAGTTCCCAATCAAAAGTGAACTAGCAACTCCAAGACCATAGAGGAGACATTTCCAATTGCGTGCTCAGGGGATAAATGCAAAGAGGGAAAGAAATACAGTAGGGAAAAAGAGCAATCTTGCGGTTTTTTATATACAAGGTCCAATGATGAATATTGCTCCATCTTGCTACATGAGAGAGAACCAAATCGCACCTTTGACTACAGTCCCTTCTCTGTCTCACCTTCTGGCCTGAAATCACTTTACCACAAAATGCCAAATCGTAAAGCTAGGGATCAATAAACCAGGGCAACATATTGTCGCTATTCTTAATCATATAACAAATTTAACAAACCTATCTTCGCTGGTTACGACTTAAAAATATTTCGTACAGCGATCATAGTTGTAGTGCTGAATTTGTGCGAACACTTGCAGAAGCTGTCAAAGACAGGACCAAAGAATCATATTCGAACCCTACTACCATTGGCAAACCTACTACCATCTGCAATACTCTGATAGTGGAAATTTCAGATCCAGGCCCCAGGGTCTTTCCCGGTCAGTTCTCAGTTGCCAGTGCTCTTTGAAAAGCTGAATGGACACAGGAATTAGTGCATGTATGTGATTTCTTCCTGCACAGTTAGTCATATACCAGTGATTAGCGATTCAAAATGCTCCACTTCGACCCAAGTGCATTGGATTAAAAAGTGATATTAATAAATAAAAGAGTATCAACATCGTTTACATGGTGGAAGAATTCCAATCTCAGTAACAGCTATACATCCAAATGAAGACTAATAACAGGTAATCCAAATTCTCCTCTCTCCCCCCTCCCCAAGTTCCAAAACAAGGGAAAAGAAAAATATGGAGACTGATAATATGGTATGGGTATGCACTTGCAGACTGACGTTCTTTATTTGCTTGTACATTAGTTTGAAAAGGTCAAAGGCACATAAGGATAGATTGTTCACCACAAGTGAGGAGCACTCCTTGAAAGAGATCTTCTCATACAAGGAGTTAGCGGGAATGTAGTGAAAAACACAGCTAAAATGTACTCCTCTCCTTCCACTAGTGATGCAGGCTACTAGCTTAAAATGTTAAACCATTAGAAGCTCTTTCAAGATTCAGCTCATGTTATCACTATTTTAATGTTCTTGACATATATTTCCCCACATTATTCTTTTCATATTTGATAATACTAAAAAAAATCAGAGCTCCAGTAGATAAGCATACTGAAAAAGCATAATGCAACAGCCTCAAGATGATATGGCAGACTCACAAATTTCAGTGCAGTATCGCACAAAGAGGATTCAACGAGGATGTTATAAACTGATAAATACTCAATGATAAGAATAAAAGCACACAAAACCAACAGGACACCATATCCAAACTCATTCCAAAGGTAAGAAATCCCCCACTTAGTCATGTCTCATGATACAAACGTAGTGAGAGATTTGCTAAGGAAAAACTTTGGGAAAGGCAATAGAGACATCAATAATAGTCAGTTAGCGACAAATGTTCCATTTTCATCTGATTATGATTACATATTCCATCTTTCTAGAAATTGCGGTGCTTTTGTCATCAGCTTGCAGCACTTCATTACGCATACTCCTTGATCTCCTATCCCTAAAATGCGTAGCAGTGCAAGACCATAATAATAATAATAAAAACAATGGGACCCATAATCAAGCAAGAATAACAACATATGAAACACCAATTGGAAGAGTATATAACCTGAAACAAATCTATTGCTCGATCTTCGATATCTCAGTTTTACTGATGTAAGCGTCATATATTTCTGGCAGTATATCCTTGTAAGGAAGAACATAATCCCACATAAACTTTGGCTCGGGGTAGACTAAAACGCTAAAAAGCATTGTCTTTCTCTTGTTCAACTTCTCATTTAGAACTTTCATAACTTCATTCCGGGGCTTCACCCTCTTTTCAAGACTGTATGTGAAAAAAAACCGGGCGGGAAGCCAAGTAGTCCGATGTAAACCCAAGTTCGTTCAAATAATAATCAAGAACGTTTATGATTCTAGGAGCTCCCTTGTTTAATACAAGAGGTGACTTACTAACCATGCTAAGTATCTCCGAGTCCAACCAGCCAAAACTTCGAAACACTCCGAATTTCTCATCAATATTCGAATCACTCATCGAAAAGAGGAGCTCAGCACCATAGTAAAACATAGCCGATTAATGCGGGATTCGCAAAACATTTTCTACCCTATGCAAGATATCCACCACATTGTCGGGCTTTATAGTGAAGAAAACGCCCGGTTTCTTGACGATCAATTTCACAATATTTTCATCCGTGAGACCATAACTTCTCAGCAGCTTTAAATTACTCTCCACCAATCCTGTGTTTAAACAACCAATCACCCTAGAACATCTCCTTAAAACTTTAACTACATTCTCATCAGTACCCACCAATTGCTGTACATACTTAACTCCTGATTTGATTCGAGAATCCAGTGGAGTTCTCCAGAAAAATCGGTAACCCATGATAAGTGAGATCAAGTCCGACCCGGAGAAGCCCAGTTCTCGGAAATACTTAACTTTCGGGTCTAGGGATTTATCCACCTCGCAGAATAATAACCCAGGGCATCTTGAAACCACATTTCCGATCTGGGTTTTTGTCATACCCAAATTTTCTAAGTAACTGACTACTGGATCGGCTTTTTTCTAAAAAGGATGTGAGCGAGATAGCTTACATACAGTGTCCATGGCAGCAACTTTGGGAGAAGCCGAGCGAGTTAATGAGGTAATCCGTCAATTCGGCATTCCGGGACTTCTTGGTGGTGGCGGTGGAGAAGTTGAGCAGGGATTTGAATAAGAAAACGGCGCCGCCACCGCCATTGATAGCTCGAATTTGAAGCCAGGTTTTGCGAGAAAACATTGCAGCAGTTGAAAAAAAAAAAAATTTTGAATCTGCCGATAAGAGTAAATTGGTGGGGAGACCTCCGGGAATGATCGTGAGGTGTTTGTTGAGAGGTTCAAAGAAAGTGAAATACTCGGGCACCGTAGAGATTCGATGGGGGAACCGGTTTGTAAATTAATCATGCATTATTAATTAGTCCCACATGGGGACAAGGCAAGGCCGATTATCAGTATAAATTAAGGCAGATTAAGAAGGTAGACTGTCCGAATTAGAAGGGTCTACGGAGTATTTAAGTAGTTCACTCTCTAATGATTATGGACATGATACCCTCGCACATGGGTCAGGGCTACGTTTATACTACTGCCGATGATTCCTCTTAGAGGATGAGGTTACTTTTTGGGTCGGCCCAAATATTAACTGTCCGAAACTAATATAAACTCATGAAACCGAAATGTTGAGAAATATATTCATATTCTATAAAAATTATAAAAAAAAACCCTCTATTGCCTCTCATTCATTCAGTATGAATTCGTAAAAAAATATAGTAAAAATTCTATATATTATTAATTAATGGTGTTAGCCCCTAGAAACGTATTAATTTTAAAAATTATTATTTTATTGATAAATG